AAAATCCTGCCCTATATTATACACAGTTCTTCATTTTATATCGACCTCTAAAGGGTATAAAAACAGTTCCTGTATTCATTTCATATCATTCTGAAACAGAATCTCATACTGAGTAGAACATTAAAGTTCATAATTGAAAATATATATTATAGTTTTGAAGATCTGTACAAAATGAAACTAATCTCTGCGATATTAATGTTAATCTGCACCATGGCTCTGGTGTTCGCATATCCTATAGATGAAGTCAAACAAGTGAGCGGTGGTGATGTTGTCGACTCAAATGCTAGTGGTGCTAGTGGTGCTATTGCTGGAGTTGCTGTCCCAGTTATTGATGCTGGCGTGGAATCAGAAGATGTAATTAGAGAAGCGCGTGATGCTAACCCAGGACGGTATGGTGGTGGTCATCACAAACAATGGAAGAGTGGTTATGGTGGTTACGGTGGTGGTTATGGACATAAGAAACAGTACAAAGGTTAAAAATATTGACTTACGCTGTATTTGAAACATCTTTTAAAAAGAATGTGAAAAACAAAAAGAATGTGGAAGGAATTTGATTATAGAAAATGATCAATGATTACGTTTACAATTATGAAAATACCTGACTAATAATTAAAATTTTATTAATAAACATATAATTACATATAATTTTAAATTAAAATTGAATATTTGTTTCATTATTTGAAGAGCTTCGAGAAAAATGTTTTGTTTGCATTCATCAGGTCGTACTAGATTAGGTAGATCTATAGAAATCTGAAAAGAAATTTTTTGGGCGGTTATTTATACATTATGAAGTTTATTTCTAAAAAGTAAGGGAAAGAAGACAATAATAGAAGTGCTTGCTTAAATGTATGTTTTACGCATATATTCGATTATTGACTTACCACTCGAAAATTATTATTTTCTTAATGACTTTAAAACTTTAACAGAATTTGATTTCTCTTCTGGAGAATGTTTTAAGCAATTTTATAAAGTTTTAATACCATTTTCAGAAGTAAACACCTCTTAAGAAAATTTAAAAATCTGTCAAGCCATCTGTTTGATTCCTTGAAATTGAAAGTGTGATATGTGAGTGAGTGAAATAGAAAATCCAGATCCAATATATTATTATTGGAGTTTTTATATGATATAAAGATCGTGAAAGGTTTTTTCAAGAGATGAGAAGAATTGACTAATATAGTAGTAATATACAAGTATATATAATATATAAGTAAACAAATGCTTTATTTTCTATATTGTCATAAAAACTATTCAGGGAAACACTTTCAGTAATATTGGAAAAACTTTAAATACTTGATTGTAACTTATCAAATCAAAGCAGATTATTGTTTCGTTAAATCATAGCGTCTGCAGGATGAC